CCGCGCAGGAAACTGCTCACTGAAGGGTTTTTGTCCCTGAAAGCTTGCGTCATGTGCAAGACGCACTTCTCAGCAGTACCTCTCCGGAAGTGCAGCGCAAAAATTCCGGGTGCCTGTGGCTCTAGTACTGTCTGCGAAATCAATGTGCCACCTTGCAGTGTAGCCGCCCACTGGGCCTTTTTCTCCGGATTGAGACTGTCCACAAGGAAGACATTCGCGGCGGACAACTCGGAAGTTACAGCATGAGCTCCAAAGTTGAGGCAAGCTTGCCGAAGATTCTGAACCTCCCTCCCCAGCCACACCGACTTGCCTGCGAGCATCTTCTCGAAATGATCACGCGTTTTTTTTTGACCTGCCATGTCCCAGAATTCTTGCTTTTTGGTTTGTGTCCCAATGCGCTTTGCATCTTCCTGGCGTAGCTTGTTCTGCCAAGCTTCCACCTTCCTTGCACTCGTTTTCTCAGAGTCGAGCAAGCTCCCATTTGCTTGGGCCTCCATGCGGCGCTTCTCAAGGACGCCCTTCAAGTGCTTGGCCTCGCGCTCCATTTCTGGCGTGAACTCCATTGTGGCTGCTCTCTTGGGCGGTGGAGTTTCTGTTATGGCCTCGTCCAAATCACGCCGCCGCTTGCGCAACCAGTCTGCTTCAGTTTTCAGGCCGCTCTTGTCCTCGAGATCGCCCGGACTCGCTCGCGGCACTCCTGCGTCTCGTCGCTTCCTGCGCGGCTGCGACGCACGCTGCCGCCCTTCTGCATAGATGCGGCGCGCGCTTTCAACAAGTGCCTTGTCCGACGCTTCATGTCCGTCGTCCGCCAGAGCGATGACAGATCTGCGAAAGGAATCGTTGTGTCCGTTTCCTCTTTCAAGGTGGCAACGATCCACCTTGCTGAAATGTTGCTCGACCCCAGAGCTTGACGCTGTGAAAGCAACATACGCGGAGAGAACCTGGGCAAGAGCCACGGCTTAGGGTTTAGGGTTTAGGGTTTAGGGTTTAGGATTAAGTTAATAAGTCAACCAAGGTGCGGGAAAAATGTTCTCAATGCTTTGCCTGGAGCGAACCTGGCTTCCTGCCATGCGTGTAAAGGCATGCTGCCACGCAGCGCGATTGCCACATCCACTGCTTTCATGGTGCGCGAGTGCGATGGCATGCATTTTCCCAAACTCCTGCTGCAAACCCAAAGAGTCTACTTTGAACACCTGGCTGAGACGCTGCAGAGCAGGCAGCACAGCCCGTCCAGAGGTAAGACCATCTGGCTTGCTGCACTTCACACGCTGCATGCCTCTGTTCTTCTGGACGTTGAAGACCTTAAATGCCATGATCACGTCGAAGTCGGGAAACTCAGCGCGCACGGTTTCCTTGCACAGTTCCACACATCTTGCCATGACACGCAATGCCGCCTGCCGGGCGTGCGCAAGGCCATGGCTGCCCAGAAGCTTCGCGTGCCCATTTGTGAAAGCAATCAGCGTGCCTGACTCCAGAACTTGGACACAGTGGCTGGTAAACCCATGGAGCGCCAAACATTGCTCGTGCTGAAACAGCGCCTCCGACGGTTACTATTATCCTGAAAATATAATCACTAGGTAGTCTTAATGGGGAACCCTAATAAATCTATAAACAAAAAAAGCAAGTCCCAACCCTCCGGGTAAAATTCATGTTGCCTCCAAGCGGGTACAAAACACGCTGACTTCCTCATTCATGGACGCAATGTCCATGTTCTCGGAGTCCAAAAAACGTGTCAGCTGCACCGTTGTGTCCGCCATGTCAGCGCACATAGCCAACAACAAAAGTTTGTGTTGGGTAAGACCACTTAAAAAATCCCCTGCCCATTTTGCATCAGAGCCTTTCGCTGCGATGATTTGGTTCAGAACCGCCACAATTGCATCCAAGTGCAGGATAAAACGTGCGAGCGGTTTGCTGAAAGAGCAGAAGCGATGCTTGGCTGCTGACAGCGTCTCTCCAGCTTTGAAGCTGCTCTGCTTCACAGCATTCTTGAACCAACCGCTGTACGTGTGACTGTTCCAAATCTTTTGGCAGACACTGTCTTTGTTCGTGACTGTTTCCTGGCAAGGTCACATATCCAAGGCTTCAATCATGCATACACTAAGTAGATAACTTACAGCCCTCACCCAACCCCATCATGTCCTGCAGCAAGGCGTGCAACTCCTCGTCCGCACTCCACGGCCGCGACAAGAGGCGCTGGGAGGCATGTGCCCGATCTCTGCCAATGATCTTCTGGCCCGGGAACAAGGGCGTTTCATTCTCAGCTGTGCTGGTCCTTCGAAACCCCGTGGCCAGGTTCTGCGCCAGCAACTCAGCCGACGCACAATCCGTTACCACCATCTGGCAGTTCTGTCGGAGCTTCTCGAACAAGTCCTTGTCGAACTCTGGGATGGAACCACGAAACCCCCGCGGAGAATTGTAGCGACTTTGGCAAAACGTTTCCAGGCCGCGACGCGTCCCCTGCAAGATTTCCTCCGCGTGGCCACCCGGCAAGGTCTCCAGGGCCAGGACGCCACTCCGGACATTGAGAGTGGCGCTCTCGCACAAGCGAAAGCGCACCATCAATTTACCGTGGCGCTCGTCCCGGATCAAAACGACAGAAGAACATTTGCGTGCAGCCGCCCTATGTTCATCCAACATTGCCTCGCTGATGCACCATCTCATCAAATTGGTCTTGTCGCTGCTGCCTCCTCCATCTCGAGCACTGCGCCCTTTTCTCATTCTCCTGAGGCAGCTTTGGAATTCCTTGGCAGAGGGCGCGACGCAACTCAGCACTGCGCCGGTGCCTGTTGTACAGTGCAGCAGGGCGTCTTTATGGAACTTGCAATCTTCGTGCTTCTTGCACTGGGCTGCAAGCCCACGCCTGGGATCAGCTTGGAGGGACAGGTCGGCGAATATAGATGCGGAGGTAAGACCATCCTGGTTCTGCTGCAACATTCTCTGGTAGCGACAGCAAAGCCAACATCCTATGCCAAGCACTGACTTGTCCTTCTTTCTCCAACGCCTGACCATGACTAGCCAGGGCCTCGCTTCACCGCTCTTCTTCTCGCGAAAAACAAATTGCTTCCGCAACGAAGGTCCCCTGCGATGCCAAAAGCAACGAACACAATGTTTCTTCTTGCACTTCTTGTAATGAGATGCCAACATTTTCGGAGTGATGAATCTCTGCGCATCTGCTGCATCTGCCATGGCTAGGAGGTCTTGACATAAGGTGTTCCGCAGTTTTCAGGCTTTTACTTGCGTGAGGAATATGATTTGTGCAGTGTTTACTTAGAAGCTGACACAAAGCCTAGCTCTATTTAAACGTTAAGTTAAGAACCTTAAAACCTAAACCCTGGTCAGTGAAGAGTGACCTTCAAATACTCAAGACCACACGCCGTTTGAGATTGCCGACAATACATGAAGCAAGATCTACACTGCAGCTCGCAAGTCTTTAAACACATGTTTGTCTTGCACAAAACGTATATACCTAGCTGCCAACCTATTTGGGGCTTGGGGTTTCTGGTTCTTATAGGGTTTGGGGTTTCAAAGTAATCCCAAACACCACTTTCTGCCTCTTCGGGCTTGGGATTGTTTTGGCTTAAACAGTTCAGGGTTGCGAGTTTAGGGCTTTTTAGGTGGAGAGGTACAGTAGAACAAAGGGATTTAAGGGTTTAAATAATTTACGGGTTCACGGTTTGGGCCTCAAATTTCGAGCAAGATTCGGACATTTTTCATCTCCTGAAGTCCTGCAGTCTGCGAGCGCAGCAGCCACAGCGCGGATCCCGAAACACATTAAACCCTAATTCCTAAACAGCTACTGATCCATGCAACCAAAAATATGGGTTCATGGGCTCAACGTAGGGTTTCAAGTTTAGGGTTGAAATTTATTGTTGACGGTCTGTTGTTAAGCAGAGGAATCGGGATCTTGCGCCGGTGTGACACGAAAGCTTGTGCTGCAACGGCACTGCTCCTCGGAACGGTTAATATTTTGATTCTGTATTAAAAACATCTTACAACAACATAAACAACGTCAAAGCAAGGTTTCGGGACCAGTGCTGTGTTGAAAGAGCAGGAAACGTTCTACTTAAATGCAAGGTAAGACCATTGCAAGGAACGTGCACAAGCAAGGTAAGACCATTGCTGCTACGACTGTACACCGAAGCAAGGTAAGACCATTGCCCCCGTCTCTCATTCACGCGCTTTGGAATGCATGCTGCCAGGCACTCCTGGCGCGATGTTTCGCCTGGCGCACCATATCATCATGAGCCGTGTTGGCCTGGTCTGGTTGCCCACGGCAAATGTCGCAGGGTCCGCACTGGCGGTCTGCCCAGTTCCCTGCCATCTCGGTCACGTGAGCACATTGAACTGCCTCTATGAGGCTGGAGTGCTGTAAGGCGTGCTGGAGGAGATACGCCATGGCCACGGAGCGGTGGTTGCCGCTCTTACAGAAGCAGAGGACAGCGACCGACCTGCGCTGACCCGCGGGGACGTCGGCTTCTGACGCGAGACGGACCGCACGTCGCACAAAGCGGACTAAAAAGTGGAACCAGTTCGGCTTCGATTCCGACACCATGCGCATGACCTCGGGGTGGTAGCCTACGTGGTCCCGCAGGGTGTTTGAACTGAAAGGGTCGTGGAAGACCCGAGTGTCCAACACAACATGCTCCGTGCTGTCGCGCGGGAAAAGGTCCACCTCGCGCAACATATCAACAAGTAGGTTCTGGTCCACCGTCCGCTCTCCTTGGGCAGTTGCCCTCAGCCTCATTGCTTTGCATTTTTGAAAAAGGGCTTTTGGCAGCTTGTTCCTGCCGCTGGCCGGGCCCAAGGTGAACTGCAGGTTAGCCGCCCCACATGTCACAATGTCCACGTAGACGCGGTTCCGGTTGGGAGGTAAGACCATCCCAGCCGTAGGCCCGTCCGCTCGACGTGGCTTCGCTGTAGCCGGCTCGTCTGCGGACTCCATCGGCGCATCGACCTCCTCCTTCCTGGCTTGGACGGGCTCCGGCACCTGGTCGACCTCCATTGCCATCGCCTCATCGACCTCCCTTGTCTTGGCAGGGTTCTCGCCTGTCAATCCCGAACTCGAAGAGACTTCGGAGGTAAGTTCCTTTTTGATCTGGGAGGTAAGACCATCCCTGATCCTTCCAGCAGCCAGCAAGGAGCAGCTGGAGAAGTCGGGGCCACCCAAATCTTTCAGCAACAGCAGCGCTTTGCTAGCTTCCGGAATCCTGTCCGTATTCCGGAACCACCGCTCGTCAAGAAGCTGCTGTTTGCTGACGTCCCTGTTCTTTGCATTTTGCATCGACCACGCGAGATGGCAGCCCGCGTGCTTGCTCTTTGCAGTGGAAAAAGCAACTTTTTCGTCTCTGTCGTTTGGGATCGACCACCCGCGATGGAAGGAGAGTCGATAGGCCCAGCCCGGCGCCTTGTGCTTCACCCGCTGAAAGAAGTCAATGTCCTGCGCATTCGGGGTTTAGGGCTTCGGGTCTTTTTTGGCTCTTGGAAAACTTGAATTACAGGGTTTAAAGTCTATTATAGGGTTAGGGTCTGCGCGTGTTACGTGAGGGGTTTAGGGCTTCGATGGGGCTTAGGCATCTTTTGACTCAAACATCCTAGTAGCCGGTCGGGTAGAACGACTCGTCGTAGCCGTTGAGTTGCAGGAAGGTTTCCTCACGTGAAGAGCTTCCGGCACTTTATAAGTTCGGGTACCCTAAACCCTATACCACCCTAAAGCCCTATAAACCCCAAACCCTAAACCTGCAACCCTTGCGGTCCTGTGTCACGCCTATGCGGCCTGTGCAGCCACTGTCTCCTCCTCCCACGCAGCGGAAACCAAAAATCTGCGCCGGCTCACTCGTAATGCCAGCGTACACTTGGTTGTTGTTGGCAACGAGGCCAACAAAATTGCCAGACAAAATGTTATCGGCGTCCACGTTAATCAAAATGTGCCTGCGTGTGTCCGTGCCGCCAGCTGTCGCTGGTGCCACGTCGGCCCAGGTCTTCGGCTTCCTTGTCCAGTCCGTGTCCAAGGAGGTAAGACCATCCGAGGACACAAAGCCTTGGCCCCAAGGCACCAACAATGCCAGCTTGTGAGCTGCGTTCTTGCAAACGGAGGAATGAAAATGCTGCAAATCGCTGCTGAAGCGGACCACCAAGAACCCGCTTGCCAGCTCTTCCTGGAAATTTTCTTCGATGAAATCTCTTGTCTCCTTCCCATCGTTGCCGGCATCATCATACAAAGAAATGCAGAAACGCACATTCTGGCTGTGGCTTCGCTGGAGCAGAATATTTGCTGCCAGCGCTTTCCTGAGCTGCCATCCACGGGCGAAGCAGGCGACGCAGCAAGAAATCCTCAAGTTCAGGGCCACCCTGGGCAGTGGCTCCGCCGCGGGAACGCTCCGCACCAGGTTGACAGCCTCTTGGCTGAGACCATTCTCGTCTCTGGCTGCCTCAATTTGACTGAAGGCCAAGTCTCTCAGTCGTTCCCATCTTGTCTTGGGCGGAGCAGGCGCCGTAGTCGCAGCATCCTCTTTCGCAGCATCCTCATTGGCAGCATCCTCTTGCGCTTCTTCGTCTGAGGTAAGACCATCAGACGCCTCATCCTGCTCTACATCATCGGGCTCAGCATGCCCTTCTGCCTCAGACAGTGACTCCTCCGAACCGCCCCAGTCCACGGAATCGTCGTCCTTGTTTTTTTCCTGGCAAAGACAATGTATTCGATTATAAGAGAAAGCGGGCCCACAAGAGTTAAAAGTAAGCCCTAAACCTTAGGACCTAAAACTGGTTAAACAAATCAAAGGTCTAGGTTTCAGGGCTCGGACTTTTAAAACCTTTGTCAGGCCTCCTCAGCCTCCTCCTCTGCGGCAGCGTCGTCCTCCTCCTCCAGGACCCGCTGGGCTGGCGGGCAGCTGTGCCAGGCCACCTTGTCATCTTCCAGATCTGCCAGCAGACCTTGCTTTGCCAGCTTGTTGGTCTCCCGCACAAAATGCCGCCATGCGACCTCAGCTTGAAGGCCCTTTATGACCAAGCGGGCTCTCTTGCGGCCAGAGGGGTCCCGCGAGGTCGCCTTCATGGCGATGTGGCAGAGAAGCTCCTCCTGGATGTACGTCGCAATGGGGGTGTATGACCGGTTTCTGTAGCTGCTCATTGCCAGCGGGACCAGTGCCGCGACGAACTGACCAGGTGGAAACTTGCTGGACCACTCAGTCTTCCGGTTTGAAGTGGCGGTGCCAGGGGTAAGACCACCTGGCGACCGTTCTTGCCAACCGCTCCACCAGCCACCCCAATCATTCCAACCGTCGTCCCAGCTCCAACCGTCGTCCCAGCTCCAGCCGTGGTCCCAGCTGGGGCCCCAGTCCCTGCCCCAGCTGCCGTACCAGTCGCTGCCCTGGCCGGCGCCCCAGCCTCGGCCTCGGCCTGCCATGTTTTGCAAAGGCCGGTGTGAAACGGAAACTTAGCGCTGAAGCTTTGCAGGTCTGTGGTTCTGAGTCATGGATTGTAAGGCTATGGCTAAATTAATACTCCATGCTCCTGCAAGTACATGTTTTCCTACTCGGCACTGTTCCTGCAAACCCGCGGGCTCAGGGTCTCAAAGGGTTTAATAACGGTTTGACCTAGAAAATAAGCTTTTATAGGGTTGTTCGAGTCATCCTTAAAAGTTCATGTTTAAAGGATCTCTTGTCTAGCCCTCTGGTATTGAATTTGCCTGAGCCGTGACATCGAAAGCAGCAGATGCAGTTCAGGGTTTTTGGGCCGTGTGCACAACAGCGGCAGATCGAAGGCTTCGAAGCTTCTTAAAGATTACTGCTTCAGGTTTATGGGCGTTAATTCAAAGCGTACTTATATGGCTGAACGGAATCATTGAAAAATGGGTTTCAGCTTCAAAAACCTGATGGCCTTATGATAAAGACCTGAAACCTTAACCCAACACCCTTGAGTCCTCAATCTTCTAGTAAAAGCAAAGTAGGAAGGGACGTTACCCCGAAAAGGTTTTGGGTTTGAAAGGGGTCTGGGTTGAACTGACCTCCTCCCCACCCAACAACAACAACAGCAACAAAGAGAAGCGAAGGACTTCGCACACGACCCAAAGTTCCATTTTGGCCTCGTCCTGCCAACGACGTGAGCAAGCTCTGAAACAGAGGTAAAACCATCTGCTGTGCAAAACTGAAAATTAACGGTTGCCCGCCCGATTGCAAGCCCACTCTTGTGCAACACGCAGAGAAGCAACATAGTGCGACAATAGCAAACGTTCAGCCATGAGCTGCAGACGCAGCTCGGCCTTGCGTTTGTTCCACTCGAGCAGCTCTTGCTCCAAGTCGCGGATGCGTTGCTGCTCTGCTTTCTCTGGGCTTATACAAAACGCGACCAGCCTTCTCAATTTGGGCGGTCTATCATTCTGGCCCTGTCCGTTCTGGGCAACAGATGTAAAACCATCTGCCTGTTCGTTCTGGCCAGCAGAGGTAAGACCATCTGCCTCTGCTTCCACTATATTCGCTGGCTCTGAAATCATAGGCAGCAGCAAGTCGTCCATACCAGGCGGCGCTTCCTGGGCCGGCTCGAAGTCGCCCAAGTTGAAGTTGGAGCCTTTTGGTGAGCCTTT